TCAAGTTTCTTTTGCCTTAAAAATTTTTTTTTTGGTGGTACTAGGGATTGAGCCCAGGGCCTTTGCTACATTCCCAGCCCTTTAAATTTTTTTAAATTCTGAGAGAGGGTTTCACTAAATTGCTAAATTGCCCAGATTAGGCTTGAAACTTCTAACCCTGCTGCCTCAGCCTCTCATAGTGCTGGGATTACAGGTGTGCACAATGCCTGCTTTTTTGGCTTAATTCATACAAAGAAAAGGTAATCTGAAGTGATCAGAAGTAACCCTTTTTTTTGAGAGAGGGTCTTACTATGTAGTCCAGGCTGGCTTTGTGATTGTCCTGCCTCAGCTTCCTGAGTGCTGGGATTACAGGTATGTGCCACCACACCAAGCAAGACAAGTAACATTGAAATGACCAATCTACTTTGTTGTTGTTCTGCTTTCTTCAGCTTTTTCTGTCTTAAAACCACTTTCTTCTGCTTGGCTCACTGGCACATTTATTCTATTACATGGAATGAAGTGCTGTCTAATTCTAGAATGAAAAACAAAGCCATTAAGATCTTTAAACAGTTGTCATATTATCCTTTGACAGAGAACACAGTTGCTTTTCTGTATAGTGGGATAAAGCAAATACACCTGTAATGTTGTGAACGCCTCCTGTTTTTTATCTCCAATGTCTTAAGGAGTCATCAGATTTTAAGAACACAGAAATGTTAAATTGTATTTTTTGCCTGTACCTCATTCATCTGCAATATGATGTTCAGATTTTTCCCAATTAAGATCGATGACAAAGTACAATCTCTAAGCCAACTTTCACAAATGGAACATAGAGGATATACTCCAGTTTGCTATTCATTTATTTTTTTATTTTTTTCCCCATTAAGTTTATTGTTACATTTTAGGTATAAAATACAGTTCATTCATCATTGGGATCTTGTACCTTTACATGAGTATGTTGGTTCTTTTTCTTTTTTTCCCCTTCCCTTGCCCTCCCTTCACCCCCTCCTCCCTTCCCTATTTGCAAAGACTTTGTTTCCATTTTTTTCCTCTTCTCATATTTTTTCCTTTCCCTTTTTTCCCTTCCCCTACCCCTCCCAATTACCCTGCTCTTTTAGACCTTTTCTTCCTGTTACACAGTATCAGTTATACATTTTTAAAATTACAATATTAAGATCTAGGAGACATTACCACAGATTTTACAGAATTTAAAAGGATATAGAAAGCATATTACAAAAATCTTTTTTGAAATAAATTTGACAACTTCTAAGAAGTAACTTGGAAGACAAATTAATGAAACTAACTCTGGAGGAAATATAAAATTTGATGCTATTCATTTACTTATTTATTGTGCTGGGAATTGAACCCAAGGCTTTACACACCCTAAACATGTGTTCTACCACCTAGGGTGGGGCACCCTTAACCGCATCACGTCCTTAATCCTTGCATCACATGCTTAATCCCAACATCACACACTTAATCCCAGCATCACACAATCTCAGCCTTGCACAGTTAATTCCAGTATCACACACCCTAGATCCAGCCACTTCCAAAAAGCCCCACATATAATACATGAGGCTTTGGGGGACATCTGGACACAGTCCAAGCCAAACAGTGGTGATGGAAACCAGGAGGTAGAGACTTGCTGGAGGGAGGAGGTCACTGGGGTGTGCAGTCAGGGTGTATACCAGTCATCCCCAGTCCCTTCCTCTCTGTGTCCTGGCTGCCTCCAGAGGTCAGGGCTGCTCTGTCACATGCTCCCACCACTGCACCCCAAAGCCATGGGACCAGAGACTAGGGCCTGAACCCTCTGGAAGAGTGAGTTAAACACACCTTTCTTCTTTATGGGACTTCTCTCAGGAATTCTGGCATTGTGATCGTTAACACAACACGATCTAATTGTGAAACACAGAAATTATTGACTGAATATGCATTCCAGTAAGTCCTGTAAGATATGACTATAGATATGAAGGCAATGCAGTCCTTGAATACAAGAAGAGCTATATATTCAAAAGAAGGGAAAGAGGGTGGGCGATTTAGCTCAGTGGGCCTGCCTGAGTTCAATCCCTGCACCAAAAAAAAAAAAAAAAAGGGAAAGAGAACAGAGAAGTCTTCTTGGAGGTGGTGACCGCATGAGCCTTGAAGGAAGATGTTCCGAATAGAAAAAGAAGTGGAAGTGAGGAAAGCCAGAATGAGCCAGGGTCCAGAAGAAGGAATGTAACCTTCAAGATAAAGTCATGGTTCCCAAGTCTGTGAGAGTACAGCACAGGAGAAGGCTGTGGCAGGCTGAGCTGCAGCCATGGGCTGGAACTACTGCTCTAGACTCTGTCTCTGTATGGCTATCGCTCAAGGTTTCTCAATGACAAGAGGAGTATAATCTCTTATGGAACCTAGACTTGGAGACCCAGAAGGATACTTGATTATATCAAAGTACACATCCCGGACCAATCAACAGAATTCACTCCTAGACCTGATCTTCTCACAGTGTGCTTTCCTTCAAGACAAGCAGCATGACCCAGGAAGTTCCACAAGCCAGAACCAAACCCAACCAAAGTTCAGAAACCACCCTGGACATCTGTATCCCAGCTACAGCCAATCCAAAGCTATTCTACCAGTTTACTTTCTGAATTCATCATAATACACAAGATTCTCTGTCAATCTCTACAGTCTGCGCCACTTTAACCCAAACTCTCACTCTCTTTCCTGGACTACACATCCTGACTATCTACCTGCATTTTACTCTCTCAAGCTGAAGAAATTAAAAAAAAAAATTCTAAATCACTCAATGCTTAAAATTTTTAGTAGCTTCCTGTAACTTTTACAATAAAGGGCAAGAATCAGACATAGTTTATGAAGGCCTCCATGGATCTAACTTCTCTCTAGAGCTGCATCTTCACACTTCTCCTTCCTTCCCTCACAAGAGCCACAATGGCTCTATTTGACCCTGTTGCTAGTCCAGTCTTCTCACTACAGTGCACACTGCATTATTCGCTGCCTGTCTAGGCCATTTTGCTAGGTGCTGGGTATACACTTATGAACAAAACAAAGTCTCTGCCTTCACCAGGCTTGCAGCTGAGTGGCAAAAAGTGGTCAATATTCGAAAGTGCAAATTCTCGAGTATGATCCCCGGTATCGGGAAAAAAAAAAAAAAGTGATCAATAACCAAACAATCTATTTTGTGAAATTACTATGAAGGAAAAGAACAGAGGGTTCTAAGAAGAGAAATAGGGTAAGGGAGGTCACAGAAGGCCTCTTTTAATAGAGGTCTTTGAATTGAGCCCTCAATGATAGAAAAGGAAGTTGTTACTTTAACCAGGCCATAAAAAAGGAAAAGCATTATTTCTATAGAAGAGAATTTGGTATTTGAGCATAGTTAAGATGAAAAGTGAGTTAAAGAATGAGGCACTTCAAAAGGAGAAAAAGAAAAAAGGTTCATTTATTCACTGCTTCTTAAACTGCCTTGGTAAAAGGTCAGCCCTTGTTACTCAGAAGCCTTTTGGGAGGAGCTAAGGGATGCTGAAAGTAAACACTAGGGCCAGGGATCCCTGGCTCTACCACTGCTTATATAAGCAGTGAGTCAGCAGGAAGTCAGGTGTCAATGGATCTCTTCTGTGCCCACTCCAAGCCACTAAGAAATCTGCCTCTTCCTACTAGGGAGAAGAGGCCCAAGACAAGACCTGAGGCAGGCTAACAAAACAGGCACACACCTTTCAGCAATATGCACCACAATAGGATGAGGAAAAGTACATCTTTTTTTTTTTTGGTACTGGGGATTGAACTCAGGACCTTGAGCTTGTGAGGCAGGCAGTGGAACCACTGAGCTAAATCCCCGGCCCGGAAAAGTCAATCTTTATGCATATAAAAAAGCAGCAGGATCCAATTTAAAGTAGATTATAGAGGCAGGTGATTCTGGTAGTATTTCACAGATCTATTAAAAGCCATTTCTTTAACTTGTAATACAATGCTCACCAAAGGGTGAGCTCCAATGCTCCAAAATTAAGACTACCAAATCTGCTAAAAGAGAAACCTAGATTTCAAAGAGAAAATGCCCTTATCTTTTTTGGAGTTCATAAATATTCAGGGGCACTTTCTATAACTATCTTTTCTCTACTGAAGGCAACAATGTGGTACCCAGCAACAGAAAAGGCTTTATAATGCCAGAATTGGGTCTGGCAAAGAAAAACATACAGAGAACCTAAAAGAGATTCAATTATAGTAGAGGACAAGTAGGAAGAGCATTTACAACCACTTGATATGGAACAGCAGTGACAAAGAGCCTGAGACAGACACCCACCCCCGCACAGCTCTGAAAATAGCAGACTCCTTACTGCCTCCCTACCTCCACACAATGTCCTCAGCCCTGCTGCTCCAGCAGCAGCAGCCAAGAGGAGGAGGAAGCCTCATTTTTTCCTTCTCCACTTCAGGCCAGAGTAAAGCTGGATAAGAAGGATAATTATGCCTATGCAAAGAAGGAAGAACAGACCTAATTAAGAGTCAGCATTCCTTGCTGTAAAAACCCCTAGCCTCTGCCTGCGCTGGGCCACCTGAGAAAAACCTGGTGATTGTCTGAAGGTCACAACCCAAGCACCAGAAATGATGTTTGCCGGCCTGCTCTGTTGGCTATCCTTTCCCATCACACATGACTCTGCAAAATGTGTTGCTCATCACTGAGATGCAATTCTATGTAGAAGACACAGGAAAGTTAAAAGAGAAAAAATATCATAACACATTTATCTTACCAAAACCCCCTGTCAGGCAAGCTGTTGACTGTGCTGGCCTCACAGCTCATCCTTTATCTGTGTGCTGCAGAGCAAGCTTGGGTCATGCAAACAGATCACTCGACTACAAGCTCTTTCCATCTGTTTCCACTTCCAAACTGCAGAGGAGCTGTGGCAGGCTGTCGCTGCTGCACATACCGGATTTCCGAGAATACCACCGTAAATGAGGGCAGCTACCACTGGGAACGCCCTTCCTCACCAAGAGCCACCGGCAGCCACGCTTCTAGTGGATCCCTGGCTTCTCACCTTCACAGTCTCCGAGAGGGGCCTTTCCCAGAAAAGGCAGGTGCAGCCGCACCACACCAACATCCCGCAGAGCCATCCTTTGCAGCACCTGCTTCATCCAGGGGACAGTTCCGGTTCTGTCTCCAGCATCAATTTGTGGAGCTTTTATATCTGAGTGCCTGGGAGGACTGTGCTGAATAGACAGAAAGCTTCTGCAAAACAAGCATCTGTGCCTGTGTGTATGTGTGTGTGTGTGCGGGTGCGCGTGCACAAGTGCGTGCGCTAGTGCCTGGTGCTGCTGATGCAAATGAATAGTTTGGCTCGGAGAATAGAGATCACAGGCTGTATGTGCCTCTCTGCTTTAGCTGTGAGAGTCTTTTACAAAAGACAAAAGCTTCCAACTGGTTGGACTTAAAGCCACAGGGCATTAATTCAACATTCACATTTGTCTTCTATTTAAATTAGATAAAGTTGAAAGAAGAGCTTAAAGATTAAATATATTCTCAATAAAATAGTACAGTTTAGGTAGCTTGGTTCAATAAATACAAAGAAAAAGAAATCTACCTATGTGTTGATAAAGAAACAGATGATTGCTAGAACAGATTTCCACATCTTCCTTAGTTTCTTTTCTTTTCATTTGAGGTTCATAAAACTATATAAATTTGAGCAATAAGAAAATTGAGCAAGAAACAGAAAACTGAGGAGGAGGCTCTAAAATCTAACTCAATACCCAAGGAAAAAAAATGTTCTGCATCAAGAACACTGCAACTGAGTATCAGGTGACATCACAAGCAGACACTGCATCAGCACACACTGTTCATCAAGTGCCTACAGCACCACCCAGAACAATCTGACACCTCAGGGAAACTGTTCCTGTCCCAGGCCAGGGATTTAGCTCAGTGGTACCACGCCTGACTTGCAAGCGCAAGGTCCTGAGTTCAATCCCCAGTACCAAAAAAAAAAAGAAAGAAAGAAACTGCTCCTGCCCCAAGAGAGTCACTGTGGATCTGGGCAAGCTATAGGTCTGAACTTACTTTCCTTATTTGTTAAAAGCAGTTGGGAAGGCCGGGGATTTAGCTCAGTGGTTTTCACTGCCTGCTGCACAAGCGCAAGGACCTGAGTTCGATCCCCGATACCAAAAAAAAAAAAAAAACAGTTGGGAAAGGTACATAGGAGTTCTAATGATTATAAAATACAGCATATATAAAGCATTATTCCTAGGAATGTTTCTCTGAGGCTAATATTAGAAAGGAATCAGACGGGGCCCGGGATTTAGCTCAGTGGTTCCGGCGCCTGCCTCGAAAGCGGAAGGACCCAAGTTCAATCCCCGGTACCAAAAAAAAAACCCAGAAAGGAATCAGACAGGAAGACAATTTAGTGGAGTGCATCTTTTTATGAGCTTAGGCCTGTGGTAACTTCGGTACTGCTGGTCCACACGGGCCTAGGAGCTCAGGGCAGCACAGTGGCAAGGGGGCAAGGTCTTCCTTCGATAACCAGTGCCACAGCTTCCAGCATTCTTTCCCTTACACCACAGGAGGCCCTCCGAACGGGGGCCAGAGCACCTTGAGTGATCAGATTCTAGGTTGGAACCATGGTCCTGGAAAACCCCTCTTCCATCTCTACAGATGTTTCAAAAAATCAAACAAACCAACTTGTACCACTAGCATCAACACCAGCTATCTGTTTACTTAACTGTGTTTATTAGCATTCTCAATCTCTCTTTTTTTTCCCTTTTTCTTATTTGGTGCTGGGATTGAACCTAGGCTTCACAAAGGCTAAGGCCCTCCTCTGCGCAGAGCCACACGTCTAGCCTTGCACTTTCAGTATCTTCTGCTAAGACCATCACGTTCAGTGTAGAAAAATTTGAAAGTGCAAGTGGGCATAAAAGAAAACAAAAATTACCTGTAATCTCACCACTCACACAAGGCCAACAAACCACTGTTACTGTGATTTTTATTTGTTTGGTTTTAAAAAAATGCACAAGTATTTTCTGTTATTCAAATCAATATTTCTCATGACTTCCATTTGAAAAGTTCCATAAGAGAAGCTGTATTTTTTCCTTCCTTCTTAATAATCACTTTGTGTATCCTTATACCTAACACATCTGATGTGGGCTTCTAAACAGGAACTGAGCTTGTGTATTGTGTTTAGCCTAATACAAAATTTAGTAAGTACACATTTTGTTCACAGTGATACAACTCAATGTTGGAGGCTGTCTTTTCCTTTGAGTAGGTACAATATTGACCTTTTGTTAGGCTAACACCTATACAATTCCATAATTACAGGTAAACTGCTCCTCCTCCTAACCATTTCCAGTGCTCCTTCTCTTCCTGGATACATGCTGCAGAGTTTCCCACACCCCTTACAGTTAGGGCCAGGGCCACGAGGTTAATTCTGACCACTGCGTTGTGAAGGAAGGGAAGTGTCACTTAGGTCAGCACCTTTGAAGGTGAATGGGAGGCTCTCTGATCCTCCCTCCTTACCACTGAGATCTCTGAGCGTGTGTTGAGATGGGTGCCGTAGCCCAAAACCACCTTGGCTGGCTGAGCCAACATAACGAAGGTGGTCACCCCTCCTCATAGTACTAAAGCAGACCTTGTATAAGAAATGTTCACTGTAGATTTTTATGAAAGTCATTGTCTTAATCTTTTAAAACAATGTCCTTTAACAGTTCTAGGGGTTCTAGGAGTTACTGGTGGATCTGACAGACCAAAGCAAAGTGCTCTCCAGAGCAGCACCTTCTCTGGCTGCCTAAGCCTGGGTACATTTCTTCTTGGCCATCAAGGTAAACGGCACTTTAATTTTGCTGCCTTCCTGGTTCACTAAGACTAATTCTCTTGCTGATTCTGTTTTTGTTTCTGCTTTATGTACAGTTGATAAATTATTCCCCACTGATAGGAGCACTGCGAATTTTGTTTTATGGTTTGTTCACTTGATGGTCTCTGTAGAAAAGTGACACCTATCTAGTCTCTGTTGGATGAGAAACCAAGGGATGAGTCTGTGTGTCAGACTTCTTTTTTGTCAGTCTATCTAATTGTGTTGAGAGCAATTCAATTAAGAATCCCCCCACTCCCTAGTCCTTGGGATGGAACCCAAGGCCTTGCACATGCTAGGCAAGTGCTCTCCCACTGAGCTGCACCCTTGGCCCCAACTAACAACTCTGTATGGACTGTGAAGAATAGCTCTCTGAGATCCTAGACTGGTGGGATTTTTGGATTTTGTGTTTAGTTTTTTTTTTTTTTTGGTACCAGGGATCGAACTCTGGTCCTTCTGCTTGCGAGGCAGACAGTGGAACCACTGAGCTAAATCCCCGGCCCTTGTGTTTACTTTTGATTTGTGGCTGAAAAATTATAGAACTGAAGCCCTGGGTTTCCATGCGTCTGTACCAGTAATTTGGAAAGACCTAGATCTTTCATTTTGTAAGTGTGAAATGTTTTCCTATCTTTATAGAGTATTAGTAAATATAATGTCTCATAAAGCAGTTCTTATTTTCTCAGCACTAAATAAAAACTTTTATGTCAAATATTTCTCAAACACCAAAAAGTGAGCATCTAATATTTAAACACATCAGATAAAGGAAAAATAAACACTTCATTGTTCAAAAACATTTTAAGAGGGCCCGAGGATTTAGCTCAGTGGTTCCGCTGCCTGCCTCGCAAACGCAAGGTCCTGAGTTTGATCGCTGGTATAAAAAAAAAAACCAAAACCATTTTAAGATTCCATACTCACAGGGCTTGGGGGTTAACCAGTGGTAGAGTGACTGCTTATCATGCACTGAGTTGTCCCCAGCCACCTTCCAAAATAAAACAATAAAAACCCCACTCAAATTCACATACTTAAGGTAAATATCTGACAAATCAAGACTAGTGTTGTCAGAGTTAAATATAATACCGTACATTTAATTTCCTTGGGTTTGATTTCTCAGAGAAAAGTAATATGAATTTCTCAAATTTATATTGGGTTATTGATCAAAAAAGCTAACATTGCTAACCTGATGAGAGTGCTGACAAACTTTTTATATCAATGGTAATTATGTACCAGCTTAAGTATTAAATACCGTAAGTTCTGGTAATTTAAAATCCTAGTCAAATGTTAAAGGGAGCTTGTTAATAAATAATTCTTGGATACTAGATAATTTGAGCAAAACAGAATACTAACACATTGATTATTAAATATGATTTTAAGTTCACATGCTTTTCTTATTCCTATATGCCATCAGAGTGGCTGTATCTTTAGAAGTCATGTCAAATGGGTTCACTTTTGCCCCATAAAGAATGTATAGGAGGGCCGGGGATTTAGCGCAGTGGCGCCACGCTTGCCATGCAAGCTGAAGGTCCTGCATTCAATCTCTGGTACCAAAAAAAAAAAAATGGAGGTACAGGAGATGTGTGTGTTGTAGGAAGTTTGTTATGTGTATTCCTGAGCTTTAATAGTCTGCTCATGTGCTTGGATATAAAAGGTATTTCTTGGCATCCACTGTTCCACCCAGTTGTCTTTGTGAAGTAAAAGTTATAAATGATAAAGGTGTTTGGAACTATATTAGGAGCAACAGTGCAGCACAGATGCCTGTAATCGCACTTGGGAGGCTGAAGCAGGAGGACTGAGAGTTTAAGGACAGCTTGGGCTACACAGTGAGACCCTGTCATCCTCCCTTCAAATAAAAATAAAAAGCAACAGTGACAGTGATACAGAAGATTTTGGGGGTGTTGGTGAGGTGGTAGGTGGGGACTGACTCAGGATTGTGAACCTGCTAAACAGGTGCTGCACCACTGAGCTATACTCCTGCACTCTCAAGAGACAGAGAAACACAAGGTAGTAGGTCTTTTGAATTTTCAAGGAAAAGAGGGTTTTTTTTTTCTCTTTTGGCAGTAGCTGGCATTAAATCCACTAGCACTGAGCTACATCCTCAGCACCACTACCATCACCCCTGCCCCACTTCTTTCAGTCTTGCTAGGTAGTCCAGGCTGGTCTTGAACTCATCATTATCCTTCTGCCTCAGCCTCCCCCTGACCCCCCCCCCCCCGCCAAGTGCTGAGGCTGAGGATTATAGGCCTGTCCCACCAAACTTGACTCCTCAGTCTTTTAAAAATATTTTGAAACAGTGTCTCACTAAATTGCCTTGAACTCGTACTCCCTCTGCTTGTCCTTGCAAGTAGCTAGAATTATAAGGTCACACCATCACACTGGACTAAAAAAGAGCATTTGTGTCCCACAATAAAGTGAAAGTTTGTTTTAGAACTTGAAAGAAGAAAAAAAGATAATTTGGGTTGCTCTGAAAAATACACTACTGGGACTTGAAGAGAAGCTATGAAATATTTTAACACACTGGCAAAATTCAATCCGTTTCCAACTAGCTGAATATTTTGGCAAAATTCAACCAGTTTTGATGGGCTTGCTTCCCTGGTCTATTGATTGATATGAAAT